GAACCCATTGAATCCTGTTGCTTGAAGGTCAATTTATAATTGTTGGTTAGTTTTCTTTTAGGTTATATCTATACTAATAATTTCGGCTTTTAAGCGAAGCCAAACGTCCAAATGGAACAAGATTGTTCCTTCGTCTATGCTTATTTTTCCTTCGAGGATGGAGTGTAGGACTGGTTATTGTGTAATATGTATTAATTCGCTTTTGTTTGCATGTAATGAATAGGATCTAATATTCAATGATATTGTTAGGATTTCGATTTGAAAACATGATATTGTTACAATTGATCATATGCATCTGCGGCGGCATTTGGGTGACACTGATACAGCGCCACCCAACCGCCGCCGTGCATCAACTTCTTTTCAGGAAAAAGTTTCCGGATTGATTTGCTGAAAAATGCCCAAAAGAAGAAAAACGAGATGCATGGGAAATAAATAGAGAGTCTGCACCTTCCAACTTCATTCTCCCAGTTCTCTCTGCAAGCGTATATTGCAATGTGAAGAAAATAGTTGATAAATTTCGATTGACTTGATGCGTGTATACATGCATGCATAAATGATTTAGGTCCCATCTAAAACTAAAAAACTGCATTTAAACTTGGTTCGATAATTTTTTTGATATTATTTTGCTTGATTAGAAGAGCTTTTCAAAAGAGCTACCCTAAAGACTCTTTAACAACAAGAAGAAGCAACAGCAAAAGCAAGATAAAAAACAAAGACTCTGTCGAACCCAACCAAACGCCCCTAAATCACATTATCAAAGGACGCTTGAAAATATAAACAAGATCTAGCCATGTACGGTAAGGATTAAAATCTAGATTTTAATCTAAATCAAAATCAACAATAAATTTAACCACATATTTAATGGGACGCACAATTTTTCAACCACATATTTCATCAATTTTTTAATCAAAATCTATTTAAAATCTAATTTTAATCTCCATTAAACATGTTTAGTCTTAATTGTTGACATCGACATTACAATCTTCCAAATTGGACATTTTTTTTTGTAAAAACTAATAAATTTTAACTGATTGGTCAAACTAAAAGAAAAAGCAAGAATTAATTCACTTTGAAACAAAAAAAAGTTGGACAACGGACACAAAACATCGAGGTAAGTTGAGTTAGTATTTGTAAACCCTTAATAAACGTCTCTCTTTTCTATGCTAATTACTCATCAGGGGAGGAAATTGAACAAAGCCTGTAATGTCTTGGGTATAAAAACTAAAAACGGTATAGATCAACACATTCCTTGGCAGGAAAAATCAACTCTACCAATTCTTCTATTCTCCCGTTCTCAGAGAGTAAAGATATGTGCTTAGAAAATCTAACTACCTACTATTGATAAAATTGGCTCTGGAAGGGTTCTTCTTATCCATCCATCAGCTGCATTTCATTGAATACTTCACTGACTTGCTGGACCTTTTACGTCACCTGTGCGAGAAGCACCAGATTTCTTTTCCATGCCCTTACCACTAGAAGCACCATTATTTCCTTTTCTACCAGAATTTTTTTCAGACTTATTAACAGATTTCTGTCTCTTCTTGATAACCTTCATCGCCAATGTTTTCAATGGAATTGTAATGTCTAGCGGCAATAACACTTCTTGCAGTTCGCCCCAGGTGAGATCTTCAAAGTCACCATCTTCATATACCACCCTATACCAACCCATTTCCTTGTCAAATTCGATAACTTTTCCGTTGTAGAATTGTTCACCAAACAATTTTTGCACTTCTCTACCTTCCAACCATTCACCAAAGCCAGTTAGCATCCGGGGTTCTTCACTAGTAACAGCACAAGGAATAAGAGTGTCATCACCAGAAGACAAGGGAGGCAAACCATTTAATACAATAGCAGGTTCCCCGGGAATCTCAAAAACACCAGTTGATGAAGACTCTAATAAATCCTCATTGGCTGTGTTATCCATTCTCTACAGCCAGTTATCTGAAGCTTGTATGGAGAATTCAACCCAGAGTTAAATCAGTAAAGGATAAGTAAAATAAGTAAATATGAGATTATTTTACACAATACTTGTCAAGGAGCAAAGAGTAAAAACATTGACAAGACAGATTTTCATCACAAAGAAATTGAATAATTGCCCAAACACATATAATAATGAACGAATGCAAAAAGTGAACAAATAGAAACTACAGTGATATATTTCAACTGGATAATATGATATCCCAAAGAGTAAAAAACAATCAGAAAATTGCACATCTCTTCTATGGAACTCATCGAAGTATAATCTACAAGAGACGGGTTCAATCTTGTATATAGGTGATCTTGAAGGAAACGGTACATAGGGCAAGAGAAGAGAACGCAAAGTAAAACACGGGTGTGAAGCGTTGATTTTTCCTATACAGCACATTAGTGGTCTAGCTCAGGTTATCAAGATAGTTAGAAGTCATATGTTACTAAGCCCTTGTTTGGGCTCCATTTTAATGAGGTTTTGGGAAAAATGAATTTTGGAATAGTAATTTTTTGAAAAATGTGTGGTTAAAAAAGAATGAAAAGTTTTGAGTTTACAAGTAATATTATTTTATATAAGAATGTGTGAAAATGAATTAAAATTAAAATGGAGCCCAAACAGGGGCTATATATGCATGATAATTATCGTAGGTAGCATAAACCAGCACTAAAATCAGCAATTCTAAGAATAGAAAGGTACAAGTAAATTGCTTGGAATTAATAGTATATCAACTCAATATGCATGGCTCATCTGTGACCATCCTATGAGCAACAGCATCTAAGCAAACATAGCACAAAACTGATTCTTTCAATTTCAGGCCAAATCAAAAAATTGGAATCCATGAAGACGCCATGAGTTGAATTATAACATCGAAGTTCCCATTTATATGAGAAAGAATTACTATGGTCTCCGATTGCAAAATTAGAAGTCCAAAAGCCACTAATGGGAAGTGTTTATAAACTTTATAAATTATAAATAGATAGAAGGGATTGGT